GGTTTCGCAGGTTCTGCAACACTAGTATTTCTCAGGCAGAGTGTCAAGTGCTGAAGTTTTTTTACGTTCTGTTTTTATATGTCTATGGCCCAACAGTTGTGTCCATACAGGAGAAATAACAAAAGTTATCGTCATTAAGGATTTATCCCTATTTCGCATAAACATACTGAATATATCTGTAATCATGTATATATAAAACAAAGAAGTATGTCTGTGTGTGTGTGTGTGTCCGTCCGCACGAGAATCTCGAAACTAATTTACCGATCTGTAGTGATGATGGATGATGTTATGTAGTATATGGATGGTGTTATATGGATGATGATGGGTGATGTTATATGTAGTGATGATGGATGTTGTATATGTAGTGATGATGGATGATGTTATATGTAGTGATGATGGATGGTGTTATATGTAGTGATGATGGATGATGATGTTATATGTAGTGATGATGGATGTTGTATATATAGTGATGATGGATGATGTTATATTAGTGATGATGGATGGTGTTATATGTAGTGATGATGGATGATGATATATGTAGTGATGATGGATGTTGTATATATGTAGTGATGATGGGTTATATGTAGTGATGATGGATGTTGTACATATGTAGTGATGATGGTTGGTGTTATATGTAGTGATGATTAGACAATAAAATAATAACAGTTTAATGCTAAAAATATACTTTTGCTGTACCGTTGTAGTGAAAAACATGGTGGAACTTATACACCGTTAATGAACTATTGATGGAAGAAGTTTTGGGGACTGAACAGTGAGACAATGTGGAGCCTCCGGTTGGCTTTGTGAAATGTGTATCCTGTCTTCATTAACTCTTTATATTTCAGTAATAAAAATGAAAAACTGATTCAAAATAGTGTTATATTAATACAGTGAAAGTCAGCGTCAGACCTAGATCAAGTTAGATTACTCACGGTGTTATGAGACCTTGGTAATGCATGTGAGCACGTAAATATTATGGTGTTGGGGTAATGAAGACATTGTAGGTGACTTATGGTCGTCATACACCCAGGGCATTGTAGTACTCTGTGCGTGTGTCTGTCTGTCTGTCTGTCTGTCTCAAAAATCTTCGTCAACCACAGGCTCCACCACTGTAGCTCAGACCCACCAACACCAACATTCACCAACACATCAAGGTAGATCTCACCACCTGTAAACCAACACCAACATTCACCCACATATCGAGGTAGACCTCACCACCTGTAGACCAACACCAACATTCACGCACATATCGAGGTAGACTCCACCACCTGTAGACCAACACTTCACATATCAAGGTAGACCTCCACCACCTGTAGACCAACACCAACATTCACCCACATATCGAGGTAGACCTCCACCACCTGTAGACCAACACCAACATTCACCCACATATTAAGGTAGACCTCCACCACCTGTAAATCAACACCAACATTAACCCACATATCGAGGTAGACCTCCACCACCTGTAGACCAACACCAACATTCACGCACATATCGAGGTAGACCTCCACCACCTGTAGACCAACACCAACATTCACCCACAGATCAAGGTAGACCTACACCACCTGTAGACCAACACCAACATTCACCCACAGATCAAGGTAGACCTCCACCACCTGTAGACCAACACCAACATTCACCCACAGATCAAGGTAGACCTCCACCACCTGTAGACCAACACCAAGACGTACAGATGGTTTAGATCAACAAAATGACACTAAGAAGATTATCTTCCAAAAATACGAAACGAATTTTATATCTAAATATATTTCTTGTAGTAATATAAAGAATTTCTTAAATATAACTCATCCGTCAGACTTATTATTATTGTTAATATTTTTTTTCTTGCAAAATACATAAGTTCTTTTAAGAAAAATTTTAATCGTTTAAATGAATTCCGAATTTCAATCCGTAAAAAAAGTTTCTGTGGAGGAGGAGAGGCGCTTAGGCTCCAGCTGGGTCCTCGAGGCTTCTTTCCTTCCTCCATTTAGATTTTGGAAAACTTTTGCTAATTTCTGTTATAGTTTTGCAAGCAATCTAAAAATTTCATTACTGCTAAAGTTTCCTTAATTTGCATAAAGACCAACTTTTATTTACATTCTGGAGTCGTGGGACAATCAAGGTGCCTCTACAATTTTGTTAATATTGCTGTTAAATGCCGCTTAACCCGAAAACAATGAAGTTTTCCCGTGCATGTTACCGAACGATAGGAAGCAGTGTGTTTATTTTCTTTGGTAGTTCTCACAAATTCTGACTATTTCCTTTTTGTACTCTGTAGATTAAATGGTATTTTCAACAAAGAAGTTATATTTTATATATTTTATTTCAGAGTCCACAATAATAAATAGTTTGGACTTCATAAATAGTATTATTATGATCAATGGTTATCGTTTTGGTTTCCTGACCGAAGTGAGGGAACATTAGACGATCACCACTGTCAGTGAGGTAAATTATTAGTCTCTGTCTGTCTGTCAGTTTGTGTTTGACTTTGCACCTTTCTTTACTTGCATCATTCGTTTACCTATACCTATAAATCACACACAGTGGCAACCTCCCTCTCAGTGATAACCTTCCCCCTCAGTGGCAACCAACCCCCCCCTCAGTGGCACCACTCAGTGGCAGCCACCCCCCTCAGTGGCAACCACCACCCTCAGTGGCAGTTGTGGCAGCCACCCTCAGTGGCAACCACCCCCCTCAGTGGCAGCCACCCCCCTCAGTGGCAACAGTGGCAACCCCTCAGTGGCCATCAGTGGCAACCACCCCCTCAGTGGCACCCCCCCCCTGGCAACCACCCCCCTCAGTGGCAACCACCCCCTCAGTGGCAACCTCCCCCTCAGTGGCAACCACCCTCAGTGGCAGCCACCCAGTGGCAGCCCTTGTGGCAGCCACCCCTCAGTGGCAACCTCAGTGGCAACAGTGGCAGCCACCCCTCAGTGGCTCACCCCCTCAGTGGCAACCACCCCTCAGTGGCAACCACCCTCCCCAGTGGCAACCACCTCCCCAGTGGCAACCACCCTCCTCAGTGGCAGCCACCCCCTCAGTGGCAGCCACCCCCCTCAGTGGCCACCTCCCTCAGTGGCAGCCACCCTCTCCAGTGGCAACCACCTCAGTGGCAACCACCCTCAGTGGCAGCCACCTCAGTGGCAACCAAGCCCCTCAGTGACAACCTCCCCCCTCAGTGGTAACCTCCCCCATCAGTACCAGTCTCTCCCCCTCAGTACCAGCCTCTCTCCCTTAGTACCAGCCTCTCTCCCTTAGTACCAGCCTCTCCCCCATCAGTACCAGCCTCCCTCCTCAGTGCCAGATCCTTCCTCAGTGCCAGCCTCCTCCTCGGTGCCAGCCTCCCCCTCGGTGGCAACATCCCCCGGGGAATTTACGGAAATGCCATCATCTCAAACGCTGTAAAGAAGCTGGTGAGGAAGATTCCGGTTCAAGGAGTTTCCCATTTACATCTCCCGCGTCATGTGAGTGAGCAGGCTTATCACAGACACCAACACACCCACACACTCACACTCACCCTAGACACCAACACACTCACTACAGACACCAACACACTCACTACAGACACCAACACACTCATCACAGACACCAACACACCATCACACACACACTCACCCCCACACACACCACACACACACACACACACACCCCACACACACACCCCACACACACACACACACACACACACACACACACACACACACACTCACCCCCCCACACACACACACACACTCACCCCACACACACACACACACACCTCACCCCCCACACACACACACACACCTCACCCCCCCACACACACACACACTCACCCCCCACACACACTCACCTCCACACACACACACACAGAATACAAACACACTCCTACACACTCACCACAGACACCAA